TTGGATGATGTCCAACTCTGTCACTCCTTCCCACCTGCTACTAAGGAGGCTGTCCAGGTCCTGAACCGATGCTTGGCCGCTGTAACGGTCTGGATGAGAGCGAACAAATTGAAATTGAATCCAGACAAGACAGAGGTACTCCTGGTCAGTCGTAAGGCCGAACAGGGCATAGGGTTACAGCCTGTGTTGGATGGGGTCGCACTCCCCCTGAAGACGCAGGTTCGCAGCTTGGGTGTGATCCTGGAACCCCAGGTTTCGGTGGTGACCAGGGGAGCATTTGCACAGCTAAAGCTTGTATGCCAGCTGCGCCCGTACCTTGGGAAGTCTGACTTGGCCACGGTAGTCCACGCTCTGGTTACATCCCGTTTAGACTACTGCAACGCTCTCTTCGTGGGGTTGCCTTTGAAGACGGCTCGGAAGCTTCAACTAGTCCAACGCTCAGCAGCCATGATTCTAACAGGAGTGGAGCGCAGGGAGCATACAACCCCCCTGCTGCGCAAACTCCACTGGCTACAGATTTGCTACCGGGCTCAATTCAAAGTGCTGGTGTTGGCCTTTAAAGCCCTAAACGGTTTCGGCCCAAGCTACCTATCCGACCGCATCTCTGCCTATGAACCCACCAGGACTTTGAGATCTTCCAGGGAGGCCCTGCTCTCGATCCCGCCTGCCTCACAGGCACGGCTGGCGGGGACGAGAGATAGGGCCTTCTCGGTGGTGGCCCCACGGCTGTGGAACGCCCTTCCCACAGACATTAGACTAGCTCCATCATTAATGGTATTCCGCAAAAAAGTGAAAACCTGGTTGTTTGAGCAGGCGTTCAAATAGTTAGTGCAATGAATGTAATGAACATAGGAATGGAACAATGGATGACGGATCTGGATCATGTTTTTAGTGATGAGACGCTAGCGAATGGCTATTGGTGTTAATTGTATATTGTTGTTAATTGTATACTTTTCTATAATATGTTATGATGTTAACTGTTTTTTATACTGTGTTATGGTAGCATTGAATTTCTGCTGTTCTTGTTGTGTACCGCTGTGAGTCGCCTAAGGGCTGAGAACAGCAGTATACAAATAAAGTAAATAAATAAAGTAAATAAATAAATAAATGTAAATAAATACGGTAAATAAATATTCCAAGGCAACCCCTTTCAGGAACCAAGACATGAACCAGAACAGGAAACTTGAATAATGAACTTGAGAGCCGAAACAGGAAGATTATCCTTTAGTAATGTTGTCTCCTTTGAGAGGCTTGAAGCCAAAATACTTAATTTAAGCCCATCCAGATGTCCATGACATCATGCCGAACGCACCTGGACTTCAAAATTTTCTCACGGATTCTGTGAGAAAACCTAGTTTGTGTTTTACTCCCTCCGTTCTCAGGTCTAATCTAGTTTCCTAAGAAAACTCCGCATCAGCCCAAGGACTTTCACGTTTCAGCAGATTGGAGAAGGGCCAATCTGGTCCCAATCTTCAAGAAGGGAAAAAAGGATGACCCAAACAACTACCGTCTGGTCAGCCTCACGTCAATACCAGGCAAGATTCTGGAAAAGATTGTTAAGGAAGTGGTCTGCAAACACTTAGAAACAAATGCAGTCATTGCTAATAGTCAACATGGATATATCAAAAACAAGTCATGCCAGACTAATCTGATCTCTTTTTTCGATAGAGCTACAAGCTGGGTAGATGCGGGGAATGCCGTGGATATAGCGTACCTGGATTTCAGTAAGGCCTTCGACAAGGTCCCCCATGACCTTCTGGCAAGGAAACTAGTCCAATGTGGGCTAGGCAAAACTACGGTGAGGTGGATCTGTAATTGGTTAAATGGACGAACCCAGAGGGTGCTCACCAATGCTTCCTCTTCATCTTGGAAAGAAGTGACGAGCAGAGTGCCATCAGCAGGTTTCCGTCCTGGGCCTGGTCCTGTTCATCTTTATTAATGACTTAGATGAAGGGCTAAAAGGCAGGATCATCAAGTTTGCAGACGACACCAAATTGGGAGGGATAGCCAATACTCCAGAGGACAGGAGCAGGATTCAAAACGATCTTGACAGATTAGAGAGATGGGCCAAAACGAACAAAATGAAGTTCAACAGTGACAAATGCAAGATACTCCACTTTGGCAGAAAAAACGAAACAGAATGGGGGACGATGCCTGGCTCGAGAGCAGTACATGTGAAAAAGATCTTGGAGTCCTCGTGGACAACAAGTTAAACATGAGCCAACAATGTGATGTGGCGGCAAAAAAGCCAATGGGGGATTTTGGCCTGCATCAATAGGAGCATAGTGTCTAGATCTAAGGAAGTAATGCTATCCCTCTATTCCGCTTTGGTTAGACCACACTTGGAATATTGTGTCCAATTCTGGGCACCGCAATTCAAGAGAGATGTTGACAGGCTGGAGTGTGTCCAGAGGAGAGCGACTAAAATGATAAAAAGTCTGGAGAACAAGCCCTATGAGGAGCGGCTTAAGGAGTTGGGCATGTTTAGCCTGAAGAAGAGAAGGCTGAGAGGGGATATGATAGCCATGTATAAATATGTGAGAGGAAGCCACAGGGAGGAGGGAGCAAGCTTGTTTTCTGCTTCCCTGGAGACTAGGACGAGGAACAATGGCTTCAAACTACAAGAAAGGGTGGAATAGAAATACTGTAAATAAATAATTTTTATGTTTCTTTTAAGGTGTCTGTATGGTTCCACAAGAAGTGGAAAAAGGGAGAAATCACCAAAGAAGAATTCAAACAAATTAGGAAGAAATTAGGAACAATGGCTTCAAACTACAAGAGAGGAGATTCCATCTGAACATGAGGAAGAACTTCCTTTCTGTGAGAGCCGTTCAGCAGTGGAACTCTCTGCCCCGGAGTGTGGTGGAGGCTCCTTCTTTGGAAGCTTTTAAGCAGAGGCTGGATGGCCATTTGTCAGGGGTGATTTGAATGCAATATTCCTGCTTCTTGGCAGGGGGTTGGACTGGATGGCCCATGAGGTCTCTTCCAACTCTTTGATTCTATGACTGTGAGAGCCGTTCAGCAGTGGAACTCTCTGCCCTGGAGTGTGGTGAGGGCTCCTTCTTTGGAAGCTTTTAAACAGAGGCTGGGTGGCCATCTGTCAGGGGTGATTTGAATGCAATGTTCCTGCTTCTTGGCAGGGGGTTGGACTGGATGGCCCATGAGGTCTCTTCCAACTCTTTGATTCTATGATCCCCTGTTGCCTGAGAACTGACATCGGAATTAAAAACATCCTCTGCCTCGGCATAATCTGCCTGCAATTTTTTCCGATCACACACAGATGTCTCATTTTGAAACCCACAATCCCACTCATCCACTGAGAAATCCTCAGACGCTTCCTGTGCTACAACACCCATGATGATGTTTTCTCCCAGGTAGAGGTACTTCACGTGGCTGTTGGAGTCTGATATCTTTGACGCGCTTTAGATACATTTCTGGAATCTCATTGTAGACATTGCGAACAGAATTCCGAAGAGCTGTTGCAGTGGCAGAAGAAAAGGAACTGGGGAGCCCTTTATGCCCTGGGAGGAGCGTATGGAGTTACCACCAAAAACTGGAAGAATACAACTTGGGAAGCTTCTGTTAGAGTACAATCCACAAATGTGTATTCACAGAGAACACGAAGAAGAAAACAAAATATTAATATAATAAAAGTGAAAATAATAATATAGTAAAATATGATTATAATATAATGTAATATAATTATACACAACTAACTGGTAATAGTAATAATATAATAAAAATATAATTAAAAAAATTGGTCATGTCAGGAGAGACTTGAGAATCTGCGAGTCACTTCTGGTGTGAGAGAATTGGCCGTCTGCAAGGACGTTGCTCAGGGGACGCCCAGATTATTTGATGTTTTATCATCCTTGTGGGAGGTTTCTCTCATGTCCCCGCATGAGGAGCTGGAGCTGGTAGAGGGAGCTCATCCGCCTCTCCCCGGTTTCGAACCTGCGACCTGTCGGTCTTCAGTCCTGTGCCACTGTGCCACCGGGGGCTCCAAATATAATAATATAGTAATATAATATATAATAATAATATATAATTATAATACACAATTAAATCACTCCCAAAAGAGTATCTTCCAGCCATTTATTGAATACATAATAATAATAATAATAATAATAATAATAATAATAATAATAACGGCGCTCCATGCAGTCATGCCGGCCACATGACCTTGGAGGTGTCTACAGACAACGCTGGCTCTTTGGCTTAGAAATGGAGATGAGCACCACACCCCAGAGTCAGACATGACTGGACTTAATGTCAGGGGACTACCTTTACCTTTACCTTTACCTAATAATAATAATAATAATAAATACACAACTAAATCCCTCCTGAAAGAGGCTCTTCCCGCTTCTTATTAAATACATAATATTAATAATATTAATATATAATAATTCAAATGCAAAATAGTAATATAAGAAAATAATAACAATAAATGCACAAGCGAATCCCTATATTATAACATTACTATAATATTAATATTAAAAATAGTAATATTATAAAGTAACTATTAATAAATAAATAAATAAATACTTACAAAAACCCTATTAATGAATACTCAACAAAATGATTGGAGACAAATCTATATATAATTTTTATTTGCACATATGAAACCAAAATAATAAAAATTTAAACTAAAAAGTAAAATTAAAAATAAGATAAAAACAAAAAAGATAAAAATATAAAATTAAAAATTAAAATTAAAAATTTGAAATAAAAATATTATAAAATCTAATAAGAAAATGAAAACAATTTTTAAAAATCAAACAAAATGTAAAATAATAATAATAATAAAAAACACTTTTGATCAGACAATAAAAATAATAAAAATAAAAAATTGAAAGACACTGATTTTTTATTTTATCCTAATATTCTGCCCTTTTAAGAAAATAATAATGATTTAAAGAAATAAGACACTTTGATTTCCTATTTTTTCCTCTTTTTATTTTATTTTAATTTAATTAATTTTTTTATTTCCATTAAAACATGTTCATAATCTTTATGTTTATTAAACTATTATTATTCATTTAATAAAATTATTTTTTCTTTAATTTAATTTTTATTTTCATTAAAAATGTTCATTTTTATTAAACTCTTATTAATTTACCTTATTATGAATTTAATAAAATTATTTATTTTATTTTATTTTTAAATTTTGAAGAGGAAGAAAATTCCTTATTTTTGGAGGATCATTTTTGACAACAAAAATAATAATAAATAATTAAAAATAATTTTTAAAAAACCCAAATAAGAATAAAAAATAATAAAAATAACAAACCAAATAATATACAACAAATAATATTTGGCAAAATAAACACCACAGAGAACAAGCAATATGCTTGGATTAAATAGATTTGCAAAAAATATAGGATTCTTTGCAAACGTTTTTCTTGCTTCGCTTTCTCTTTTTCCCTCTAAAAGGAAAGAAAGAATAAAAGTAGTTAGTAACTGATTACTTTTTGCACTATTTTCAAAGTAACTGAATTCAAATAAATTTAATTTGCATTGAGTTTAATTCAAAGGTTCAAAAAATGTAAAAAATTAAAAGGTAAACTTAAAATAATATGAACAAAAATAGGAAAGTAAAATTTAAAGTGAACCAAAAAAATAAAAATAAGAAAATAAAATGTAATAATAATAATTAACAAAAAATAAAAAGTAAAATAAAAATAACAAAAGAATAAAATTAAAATGTAAAATAAAAATAATTAAACCAAAACTAAAATAAAAATAATATAAAATGGACAAAAATAGGAAAGTAAAATAAAAATAATAAAATTATAAATGGTAAAATTTAAAGAATAAAAATAAAACCATAAATAAAAATAATAAAAGTAATAAACTGAAATTTAAATTAAAAATAATAATAAATGAACAAAAAATAGAAAACATGTAATATTAAAACAATAAAAGTACTGAACTTAAAAATAAAATAATATTAAAAATATTAACAAAAAATAGAAAAACAAAATGTAAATATAAAATAATGAAAATATTAAATGAAAATTAAAAAGTAAAATGTAAAATAAAAATAATGAAAATATTTAAAAAGTAAAATATAAATAATAAAATATAAGCAAAAAGTGAAAATAAAAATATTAAACAAAAATTAGGATATTAAAATGTAAAAATAAAATAATGAAAATATCAAACAAAAAAGTAAAATTTAAATAGTAATAAACAAAAAATACAAAATAAGGAAGTAAAAAGTAAAATAAAACCAATAAAAATGAACCAAACGATATAACCAAAAATGATAAAAACATCAAAATAAAAAGCAGAATAAAAATGAACACAAAAGAAAATAAAAATATTTAAAAACATTAAACAAAAGCCAAACAAAAAACAAAAACAAAATGTAAACATTAAGTAAAATGGAGCTGCCATTGGAGGTACATTCAAAGCCCAAGATGTAAATAAATAAATAAAATGTAAATAAATTAAATTGATATATGGAAATTTTACCTGGAAATTATTGGAAAAAAGCGGTCGTATTTTTTTGAGGCTCCTGGAAAAAAAAGAAAGGAAGATAAGGGAAAAAAAGGAAAATCCATTATGATTTATTATTGTTATTATTATCCTATTATCATTGTTTTTTACTTTGTATGTTTTGTGATGTTACCTGGGAGTCCTCTGAGTCCCCTCGGGGAGATGGAGTGGTATATAAATAAAGATTATTATTATTATTATTATTATTATTATTATTATTATTATTATTACATTTCTACTGTAAAGGACCCAATGCAAGTAATCTGCATGGCAATGGCACCTTCTTCAGGGAAAACAATGCTTCTATTTTGGGAGTTTATTTGGGGTTCTTTTACCCCACCCTTCTCACTCCGAAGGGGACTCAGGGCGGCTTACAAAAGCAAAGGCACAATTCGATGCCTGCATCATAAAACAATCATACACAAAATTACATCAATTCGCAATTGATAACAGTTCATGCATTATAACCATAAAATCAATAAAATCAATAAAACCTATACAAACCCAATTTCTCCTCTTACATGGTCAGCGTTCGCTAACTCATAGATCAAGTTTTATGTTCCACTTCATCAATCCTGTTGGTCTTACTCTCTGATTGTCTAATTTAATTGCCAGGGTGCCCAAAGGTTGGTCCCATAACCACGTCTTCACCCTCCTCCTAAAGGCGAGGAGGGATGATGATGCCCTGATTTCCCCCGGGAGTGAGTTCCACAGGTGAGGGGCCACCACTGAGAAAGCCCTGCTCCTCGTCCCCACCAGCCTCACTTGTGACAGTGGTGGGGTCGAGAGCAGGGCCTCCCCAGATGATCTCAGACTCCGAGGTGGGACGTAGGGAGATACGTTCGGACAGATACACTGGACCGGAACCGTATAGGGTTTTGTAGGTCAAAACCAGCACCTTGAATTGTGCTCGGAACTGAATCGGCAGCCAGTGGAGCTGGCACAGCAGGGGGGTGGTATGCTCCCTGTATGACGCTCCAGTGAGTAATCTAGCTGCCGCCCGTTGGACTAATTGCAATTTCCGAACAGTCTTCAAAGGCAACCCCACGTAGAGCGCGTTGCAGTAATCTATTCGGGATGTAACAAGAGCGTGGACCACCGTGGCCAGATCAGACTTCCCGAGGTACGGGCGCAACTGGTGCACAAGTTTTAATTGCTCAAAAGCTCTCCCGGCCACCGCTGAGACCTGGGGTTCCAGGCTCAGCGATGAGTCCAGCGATGAGTCCAGGATCACTCCCAAGATTGTGCATTACATCTTCAGCGATGAGTTCTCCTAGACTCATCGCTGAACCTGGAACCCCAGGTCTCGGCGGTGGTCAGGGGAGCTTTTGCACAATTAAAACTTGTGCGCCAGCTGCGCCCGTACCTTGGGAAGTCTGACTTGGCCACGGTGATCCACGCTTTGGTTACATCCCGTTTAGACTACTGCAACGCTCTCTACGTGGGGTTGCCTCTGAAGACTGCCCGGAAGCTGCAGCAAGTCCAACGCTCGGCAGCCAGACTACTAACGGGTGCTGGGTACAGGGAGCACGCCACTCCGCTGTTACTCAAACTCCACTGGCTGCCGATCAGCTCCCGAGCACAATTCAAAGTGCTGGTGTTAACCTATAAAGCCCTAAATGACTCTGGCCCGGTTTACCTCTCCGAACGTATTCTCCCCTATGAACCATCAAGATTACTAAGATCGTCTGGAGGGGCCCTGCTCTCGGTCCCGCCGGCCTCACAAGCGCGGCTGGTGGGGACGAGGGACAGGGCCTTCTCGGTAGTGGCCCCGCGACTCTGGAACTCTCTCCCGCCAGAGGTTAGAACCGCCCCAACAATCCTGACATTCAGGAAACAGGTGAAGTCGTGGTTATGGAGACAGGCTTTCGAAGAATGAGACAATGATCTGGATGGAAGACGGTGTATATTCGATTTTAGTATGACGACTGACCACTGTAGTTTTAAATATATGTGCTTTTTTTAATGTTTTATTGTAATGTGTATTTTGATATTTTACCGATTGTATGTGTTTTTATGGTTGGAAACCGGGCTGAGTCCCTCTTATGAGGTGAGAAGCTCGGTATAAAAAACTTTGAAATAAATAAATAAATAAATAAATATTCTTAAGAAACAATAACTCCCAAGACCTTATAACATTAAGTATCTTTATGGTCAATGTCTCCACCCCTAGTAAACTACAGCTCCCATGGCTCCATACTTCACATTCTCATTGCATCGTTGGACTCTTATCCACCCTTGGGAAACTATAACTTCTTGGACCAACATTGTTGGATTCCTATCTGCCCTTGAGAAACTATAACTCTCAAGACTCCCAAAATGGTACTCAAGGGCATTTCTGTCACAAATTTGTATTTTGTGAGGGCGATCTGGCTGCGACATCTGTCACCCCATTGATCGCCAGGGTTGATTCGGCTGATCTGGCTGGCTAGGCGGGTGTCCCCTCCCTCCCTCCCTGGATTCTTATCCGCTCTTAGGAAACTATAACTCCCAGTCACAGATTCCTCCCCTTCCTCTTTTCTTTTGGAGGCAGAAAGTGAAGGGAAAACGGGAAATGTTTGGATCCCAAAAGGGTTGACCTTGGTCAGGATGAGGTGGTGGACAGGAGAGAAAAAGTGTCTACATGAGACCCCATCTAGCCTACTCCTAATATACAATCCTAGAGCTGGAAGAGATCCCCAAGGGCCATCCAGCCCACCCTATGCCGTAGAAGAAGGCACAATATCAAAGCACAATTCAAAGTGCTGGCTTTAGCCTGTAAGGCCCTAAATCAGTGGTTCTCAACCTGGGGTCCCCAGATGTTTTTGGCTGGTAAACTGGCTGGGATTTCTGGGAGTTGTAGGCCAAAAACATCTGGGGACCCCAGGTTGAGAACCACTGGCCCAGTCTGCCACTGTTCATGGGCATCATTATCTATGCATTGATTTTCCTTGTATGACAAAATATGTCTGGAGAACAAACCCTATGAGGAGCGGCTTAAGGAGCTGGGCATGTTTAGCCTGAAGAAGAGAAGGCTGAGAGGAGATATGTATAAATATGTGAGAGGAAGCCACAGGGAGGAGGGAGCAAGCTTGTTTTCTGCTTCCCTGGAGACTAGGACGCGGAACAATGGCTTCAAACTACAAGAGAGGAGATTCCATCTGAACATGAGGAAGAACTTCCTGACTGTGAGAGCCGTTCAGCAATGGAACTCTCTGCCCCGGAGTGTGGTGGAGGCTCCTTCTTTGGAAGCTTTTAAACAGAGGCTGGATGGCCATCTGTCAGGGGTGATTTGAATGCAATATTCCTGCTTCTTGGCAGGGGTTGGACTGGATGGTCCATGAGGTCTCTTCCAACTCTTTGATTCTATGATTCTATGAAACGCATCTCTCCTTATGAACCTTCCAGGCCTTTAAGATCATCTGGGGAGGCCCTGCTCTCAGTCCCAAGTACGACTGGCAGGGACGAGAGACAGGGCCTTCTCAGTGGTGGCCCCTCGGCTATGTAATGCCGTTTCGGAAGAGAGTCATTTATTTATTTATTTATTTATTTACTTTACTTATATACCGCTGTTCTCAGCCCGAAGGCAACTCACAGCGGTTCACAACAAATAAGAACAGCAAAAATTCAATGCTACAGTGTAAAAACAGTTAACAACCTAACATATTACATAATTAATAAACAATTACTACAATAACCATTCATTATTCACTATCGTCTCATCATCAAAAGCATGATCCAGATTCGTCATCCATTATTCCGTTCCAATGTTCATTAACCAATCATTGGACTAATTGTTCGAACGCCTGCTCAAACAGCCAGGTCTTCACTTTCCTGCGGAATACCATTAGAGATGGTGCTAGTTTAATGTCGGTAGGAAGGGCGTTCCACAGCCGAGGAGCCACCACCGAGAAGGCCCTATCTCTCGTCCCCGCCAGCCGTGCTTGAGAAGCAGGTGGGATCGAGAGCAGGGCCTCCCCGGAAGATCTCAAAGTCCTGGTGGGTTCATAGGCAGAGATGCGGTCGGATAGGTAGCTTGGGCCGGAACCGTTTAGGGCTTTAAAGACCAACGCCAGCACTTTGAATTGAGCCCGGTAGCAAATCGGTAGCCAGTGGAGTTGGCGCAACAGGGGGGTTGTATGCTCCCTGCGCTCCGCTCCTGTTAGAATCATGGCCGCCGAGCGTTGGACTAGTTGGAGCTTCCGAGCCGTCTTCAAAGGCAACCCCACGTAGAGAGCATTGCAGTAGTCTAAACGGGATGTAACCAGAGCGTGGACTACCGTGGCCAAGTCAGACTTCCCAAGGTACGGGCACAGCTAGCGCACAAGCTTTAGCCAAGTCAAGACTTGGCTTTTTGAGCAGGCATTTGCAAATACAGTGTAACAGACGTAGGAAAATGGAATGTTTGGATGATGTGATTGGACAATGTTTTAAACAAGGAGACCACAAATGAAGAGAGATATTGACAAGTTGGAATGTGTCCAGAGGAGGGCAACTAAAATGATCAAGGGTCTGGAGAACAAGCCCTATGAGGAGTGGCTTAAAGAGCTGGGCATGTTTAGCCTGAAGAAGAGAAGGCTGAGAGGAGATATGATAGCCATGTATTAATATGTGAGAGGAAGCCACAGGCAGGAGGGAGCAAGCTTGTTTTCTGCTTCCCTGGAGACTAGGACGCGGAACAATGGCTTCAAACTACAAGAAAGGGTGGAATAGAAATACTGTAAATAAATAATATAATAATAATAAAAAATATTTTTTGTTTATTTTAAGGTGTCTGTATGGTTCTGCAAGAAGTGGCAAAAGGGAGAAATCACCAAAGAAGAATTCAAACAAATTAGGAAGAACTTCCTGACTGTGAGAGACGTTCAGCAGTGGAACTCTCTGCCCCAGAGTGTGGTGGAGGCTCCTTCTTTGGAAGCTTTTAAACAGAGGCTGGATGGCCATCTGTCAGGGGTGATTTGAATGCAATATTCCTGTTTCTTGGCAGGGGGTTGGACTGGATGGCCCATGAGGTCTCTTCCAACTCTATGATTCTATTATTCCGTTCTGGCAATTGAATATTTTGCCTTATATGTTGGGAACTGCCCTGAGTCCCTTTGGGGAGATAGGGAGGTATACAAATAAAATATTATTATTTTTATTACAACTCACCTTGTCATATCCCAGGCGCCGCAGCATGGGGGCAATGAGCTCCAGGTCGCGCACTACGTCTCCAGGGAGGACATCCGCCCAATTGTCTGTCAAAGGCTCCGCCCTAAACAAGAAACCAGAAGTTGTAGGTTGACGAGACATCGAGACCAACAATGTGTTCCCCTCTTGAGGGTGTGAGGAATGACCAATGGGAACAATGGGCGAATCTATCTATCTATCTATCTATCTATCTATCTATCTATCTATCTATCTATCTATCTATCGATCTATCGATCGATCTATCGATCTATCTGTAAAGGGGGTTCTGTGCCTTTAAGAGACAGTCCATTGGATTGCTCTTAAAGGGACAGGATCCCATGATAAGCAAAAGGTACAAGAGGCCAATCTCTTCTCTCAAAGGAACGGGAGCCCACAGTAGATCGTAATCTATATAAATAAAAATGTAATGTTTGTTTGTGGGATTAACGTAACTCAAAAACCACTGGACGCATTGACACCAAATTTGGACACAAGACACCTACTAACCCAAGGAGTGGCCATCACTCAAAGACAATTGATTTTGTCATCTGGGAGTTGTAGTTGCTGGGATTTATAGTTCACCTACGATCACCCCAATGTTCACCCCAATGTTGTTTAACATCTACATGAAGCCGCTGGGGGAGATCATTCGGAGTTTCGGACTGAGATGCTATCTCTACGCAGATGATGTCCAGATCTGTCACTCCTTCTCACCTGTCACCAAGGAGGCTGTCCAGACCTTGAACTAGTGTTTGGCTGCTGTGTCGGACTGGATGAGGGCAAACAAATTGAAACTAAATCCAGACAAGACAGAGGTCCTACTAGTCAGTCGTAAGGCCGAACAGGGCATAGGGTTACAGCCTGTGTTAGATGGGGTTACACTCCCCCTGAAGACTCAGGGCTGTGATCCTGGACTCATCGCTGAGCCTGGATCCCCTGGATCCCGGGAGAGCTTTTGCGCAATTAAAACTTGTGCACCAGTTGCGCCCGTACCTTGGGAAGTCTGATCTGGCCACAGTGGTCCACGCTCTTGTTACATCCCGTTTAGACTACTGCAACGCACTCTACATGGGGTTGCCCTTGAAGACTGCTCGGAAACGTCAATTGGTCCAGCGAGTGGCAGCCAGACTGCTCACTGGGGCGACATACAGGGAGCACACCACCCCCCTGCTGTGTCAGCTCCACTGGCTGCCGGTTCAATTCCGAGCACAATTCAAAGTGCTGGTTTTGACCTACAAAACCCTTTACGGTTCTGGTCCAGTGTATCTGTCCGAACGTATCTTCCTCTACGTCCCACCCCGGAATTTGAGATCATCCGGGGAGGCCCTGCTCTCGACTCCACCGCTATCACAAGCGAGGCTGGTGGGGACGAGGAGCAGGGCCTTCTCGGTGGTGGCCCCTCACTTGTGGAACTCACTCCCGGGGGAAATCAGGGCATCAACATCCTTCCTCTCCTTCAGGAGGAAGGTAAAGACGTGGTTGTGGGACCAGGCCTTTGGACACCCTGACAACTAGATATGGAAACCAGATGGATAGGACTGAAAGGACTGACAATTGTGGAATGGGAATTTAAACTATGAGATTGCGAAACGCTGACCGTCAAGGAGGTTTGTATGGTTTTTTATTGCTTTTATTGGTTTTATGGTTGTTTTTACCTATAATAATTATTGTCTTTATGGTAATTGCTGTTATTGATAGAATTGTTGTTGTTAAATGATGTTATTGTCTTTTGCTGTTATGTGATTCGGGCATCGAATTGTGCCTCGCTTTTGTAAGCCGCCCTGAGTCCCCCCCGGGGTGAGAAGGGCAGGGTAGAAGCAACCAGGCCCGTAGCGAGGGGGGGGGGTTAGGGGTTCAACCCCCCCCGAAATGTTTCAGATTTTTAAAAAAACCTGGTTTACTCATGAATTATAACTGGTTAACCAAATCCCCATGATAAGTCTATGAGATGCAAAAAATCAAGAGTCCCTCCAGAACTGCAAGCACTATCTCAAGCAAATATTAGCAATTTATTCACACTGTCATTACTTGCAGCCATAGCCGATGTAGTTGTTCTGGTACAGCTGTACCAGGAGCTCCAACTTTATTTGCTTTGTATTAAATGTTTGCTTGCAGTCCTAGGTTTCAGGGACTCTGCAGATAGGTGGCTCTTTGGTTGCAGTCATAGGGCAAGTCACCTGTCCATCATTGTTAAGTTTTGGTCCCACCCCTTGCTCAGGGCAATTGGGAAGGGAGCCATTTTTAGTTAGTCTCAGCAAGGCATAGGGCAAGTCACCTGTCCATCATTGTTAAGTTTTGGTCCTGCCCCTTGCTCAGGGCAATTGGGAAGGGAAGGGAGCCATTTTTAGTTAGTCTCAGCAAGGTAAGCTTATGTATAGGATGTGTGCAAGCTTCCCCTGTACAAAAGCTTCAACCCTTAAGACCTTCCGGGGGAGAAAGGTCTTAAGAGTCTCCAAAGAATTTCCAGGAAAACAGCCCTAAAGACCAAAGAACTCCAGCTGGAGAACATCTACTGCCTTGCTGGTAGGTCCACTCGGCGTTCGAGACGCAGTTCGACCCGGTAGCGGAGCCCACATCAGTAAGGGTTAGATTACAGTCAGCCTGGGAGAAGTTAAAAGGGGGATTTTCCTTTAAAGAAGAAGTTATTGAAGACAGTTGCCTGTCCTTCGTGAGCAAGATTAGGAATTCACCAGTTGCCTAAAAGCTTGGAATCATTTGCTTAACTTTACTGAAGACAAGAGAAGTTTCTGTTTGATTGTTCATTAATAAAAGACTTTGTTGTACTTCTCAAGCCATCTAAAGACTGTTTGTGGTGGAAACCTCTGAGAACTTCTCTTTAGGCCCCCTGGCTTCCCGCTGGGCAAAGGTTGCACATCCTGTTCTAAAGACAATTATTTACAGGCCCAGCGCGCAACAGAACAGTAGTGAAGCAACCAAGTTGGGGGGGGGGGGATGTTGAATGCTCTCATTAAGGAGGCCAGACTTGGTGGAGGTGGTTGACAAGGGCGGAGCTGCAGGCTATTGAAGGCTGCTCTGCCCCCTGCTGTGCTCTTTGCTTCAGCGTGAGCTAGGAGGCAGGTTTCAACCCCCCCTGCGAAATTTTCAACCCCCCCCCCCCGAAAATTTCAACCCCTCCCGAAATTTTTTTCTGGCTACGGCCCTGGAAGCAACCAAAATAAATAAATAAAGAGCATTCTGAGCTCTGTTAATGATGGAATTGGACCAAACGTGCCACACCCTACATCTAATTCATTTTAGATGAATTTTGTATGTTTTCATAGAATCATAGAATCACTGAGTTGGAAGAGACCTCGTGGGCCATTCAGTCCAACCCCCTGCCAAGAAGCAGGAAAATCGCATTCAGAGCACCACTGAGGCACTGTGTAGGTACCATTTGTAATCTGCCTTGAGTCCCCCTCAGAGTAGAGAAAAGGTGGGATATAAATAAGGTAAATAAATAAATGAATAAATAAAATAGATATTAATATCATATAATAAAACAAATATAATAATATAATACATTTAATTCATTGCACATCTCATCCATTCGTTCACCTGTGATAATGATATATAATATATATATCATAATATACATTAATCAAATATATAATACAATATATAAATAATATAATATATATAATTATAGTAATAATTTATAATGATATAATAATCATATAATATAATACCAATATATATGGTAAGGTAGTAGTCCCCTGACATTAAGTCCAGTCATGTCTGACTCTGGGGAGTAGGGCTCATCTCCATTTCTAAGCCGAAGAGCCAGCGTTGTCCGTAGACACCTCCAAGGTCACGTGGCCGGCATGACTGCATGGAGCGCCGTTACCTTCCCTATTGATCTACTCACATTTGCATGTTTTCGAACTGCTAGGTTGGCAGAAGCTAGGGCTGACAGCGGAAGCTCATGCCGCTCCCCGGAATCGAACCTGCGACCTTTCGATCAACAAGCTCAGCAGCTCAGTGCTTTAACCCACTGCGCCACCGGGGGCACCTGAATATATATGGTAATATAATAATAATAATATATATGGTAATATAATAATAATAATAATAATAATAATAATAATAATAATATACCTTTAATTCATCCCCCCCTACTCTCCCACTTAATTGGCAAGGATGGCCTCTTGTTGTCGCCAGAATAATATAAAAAAAAATCATATCTATATAATAAATAATAATGTAATATAATAATCTATATCTATATATATAAGAAAAGTCAAAGTTTGTATGCGGCGAGAGGATGGGAGGTGTATGTGCCAGTATTCTGATTGGCTGCCACTGTGATACAATTTGCATAAGGTCTCTGATTGGCCAGCCTGAAAACTCCAACATACTCAAGTGGCTGAGAGGGAAGGAAGTTTGCATATGGTTTCTGATTGGCCAGCCTCAACAGGAGCCCCTGGTGGCGAAGAGGGTTAATGAGAGAAGCGGGGACATGAGAGAAGCCTCCCACAAGGAGGGTAAAACATCAAAACATCCTGGCGTCCCCTGGGCAACGTCCTTGCAGACGGCCAATTCTCTCACACCAAAAACAACTTGCAATTTCTCAAGACACCACAAAAAAAACCAAAAAAAAAACATTCTAACATTCTCAAATGGATGACAAGAGGAAGGAAAGGGCCTGAGGGATTTGCAGTACCTTCACTCACTCTACATCCTACTGCAGTTTGGAGGAGGATGGGCCATGGATGATGGGACTTGCAGTACCATCACTCACTTGTGGCCTTCATCCAATGACTGATCTACACCAAACTTGGCACATAGACCTCTCATGATCCACTTTACGCCCTGGTGTGGTTTGGCCGAGGATGGACCATGGATTATGGGACTTGCAGTACCTTCGCTCAATTCCTGAGACCACTGCAACCCTCATCCAATTACCGACAAAGACCAAACTTGACACACTGAGTCTCCATGACGCACTCTACATCCTGCTGCGGTTTGGAGGAGGATGCACCATGGACGATGGGACTTCCAATACATGCACTCCCTTCCTGAGACCATTACAACTGCCAACAATGATGGATCGGGATCACAATTCACACAGAGAACCCGCATGATCCACTCTACATCCTGATGCAGTTTGGAAAAATTTGGAGATGGATGATGGGACTTGCCGTAACTTCACTCACTCCCTGAGAGCACTGAGACCCTCGCCAATAGACCGATCAAGACCAAATTTGGCACACAGAACCCCCATGACCCACTCTACATCCTGGTGCACTTTCGAGGAGGACAGACCATGGATGATGGGACTTCAAGTACCTCCACTCCCTTCCCAAGACTGCTGAAACCATCATCCATTGACCAATCAAGACCAAACTTGGCACACAGAGCCCCCTTGACCCATCCTACATCCCGGTGCTGTTTGAAGGAGGATAGATGTTGGATGATGGGACTTGCAGTACCTTCACTCACTTCCTGAAACCACAGTGACACTCACCCAAATACCAATAAAGACCAAATTTGGCACAGAGAGCCCCCACGGCCAACTCAATATTCTGGTGAGGTTTGGGGGAGAACAGACTATGGATGATGGGGCTTCAAGTACCTCCACTCACATCCCAAGACTTCTGCAACATTCATCTAATGACCAATCAAGACCAAACTTGGCACACAGAGCCCCCATGACTCACTCTCCAATCTGGAGCAGGTTGGAGGAGGATAGACCACAGATGATGGGACTCGCAGTACCTTCACTAACTTCCTGAGACCACTGTGAGCCATATAAATAACTGATAAAAACCAACCTTGATTCACAATTCCTTTCTCAAATAACCCGGGCAGCGCCGGGTCCCCAAGCTAGTATATAATAAAATAAATATAATGTAATAATAATATATAAATAAGAGTAGCAATAATCATTCCTTTAATGTGTGACCCACCCCACCCCACTGACCCACTCACTTGGCAAGGATGGCCTGTTGCTGTTGCCGGAGGGGGGAGGAAGTGGGGCTGGTGGCGACCCCAAGGAAAGTGGCGACCTGGTGGAGGGCAGCGCGAGGATGCTGGAGGAGGTGCTCGTAGCGGAGGGGGAGGCAGCGGCGGGGCCCCACCTGAAGGCACTGGCCCAGCATCGCCTCCACGGCTTTGCTCCACTGAGACAGGCAGTCCCGGGTGCTGCGCAGGTCGAACCCTGCCAGCCTCACCTGCCCAGCCATCAGCGAGCGCACCACTGCCCGACCATCACGCAGCATCAGGATGAACCTGGAATACAGGGGGAATATAAGGTATATGTTGGACATAATATGTAGACGATCTCTGCTTGCGTATGTGGACAACATCATCATGATGCTCGTGTAGATCAATGACCCTATTATTATAATATTATTATTATATTAGGACTATCCTGGACGACTACTACTGCTGATTATTATTATTATTATAGACGATCTCATGCTTGCATAGGGTTCCTCATGTATGTGGATAACCTCATGCTAGTTGTCACCACAAAGTATATTATATATATATATTATATTATACATCAATCTCATTATTATATAATTATATATAATTATATTACTATAAAAGGTAAAGGTTTTCCCCTGACATTAAGTCCAGTCGTGTCTGACTCTGGGGTGTGGTGCTCATCTCCATTTCTAAGCCGAAGAGCCAGCGTTGTCCGTAGACACCTCCAAGGTCACGTGGCCGGCATGACTGCATGGAGCGCCGTTACCTTCCCGTCGGAGCGGTACCTATTGATCTACTCACATTTGCATGTTTTCAAACTGCTAGGTTGGCAGAAGCTAGGGCTGACAGCGGAAGCTCACGCTGCTCCCCGGAATCGAACCTGCGACCTTTCAATCAACAAGCTCAGCAGCTCAGTGCTTTAACCCACTGCGCCACTGGAGGCTCCCATATATTACTATATTATAATCTAATTATATATATATAATATTGGAAATAGAAAAGGATGCTCATGTAGGTGGATGACTTCACATTGCATTGTCATGATCACTCATAATAATAATAATAATAATAATAATAATAACAACTTTATTTTTGTACCCCACCTCTATCCCCCCGAAGGGACTCGGGGCAGCTTACATGGAGGCAAGCCTGATCAACACAGTTAGAAACATAATACAATAAAATACAATACGGAATACAACAACAACATTATAACAATAAATTTAAACAGGCATCTAAACCAACAACCAATAATAAAATTCATTTCTCGTAACGGTGGGCGGACTGGTGCAACAAGAAGAATCGGGCTGGTAAGTAAAGTGCATAGGTCATATGGAAGAGCCTTAATCACAGACTTACTACTTCCTTTTATTGCCAGCATTTTTTCTGGCACTTCCTTTATGGTGCCATAAAATACCTCCCCGCTTAAGCGGTGCTTAATTTCTCTACTCAGAACTCACAGCTTTTTTTTTTAACTGCTTAGGTGGACAGTAAGCTGGGCTGAAGGTCGGGTGCTCACCCTGACCCGGGTTTCAAACTGTCAACCTTTGATTGGTAAGATCCATTGCTGCTGGTGATGAACCAGCAGTGCTAAAGCCAGCCCTTTACAACAGATGAAGGGTGGACTCTGTAAATATAAAACTGAACGTGTATTCCTAGGGGTGGGAGAATGTAGGGAGGCCATCCTTCCCATCATTGTGCCCACAGTCCCAATATCACTAGTCCTAGGTTTACTAGGTTCTTGTGGGGTTTTTTCGGGCTATAGGGCCATGTTCTAGAGGCATTTCTCCTGACGTTTCGCCTGCATCTATGGCAAGCATCCTCAGAGGTAGTGAGGTCTGTTGGAATTAGGACAATGGGTTTATATATCTGTGGAATGGCTGGGGTGGGGCAAAGAGCTCTTCTCTGCTGGAGCTAGGTGTGAATGTTTCAACTGACCACCTTCATTAGCATTTGAAGGCCTCCCTGAGCCTGGGAAAATCCCCTGTTAAGAGGTGTTAAGATGTGCCTGGTTGTTTCCTCTCTGCTGTTTTGCTGTTGTAATTTTAGAGTTTTTTTAATACTGGTAGCCAGATTTTGTTCATTTTCATTGTTTCCTCCTTTCTGTTGAAACTGTCCACATGCTTGTGGATTTCAATGGCTTCTCTGTGTAGTCTGACATGGTGGTTGTTGGTGTGGTCCAGCATTTCTGTGTTCTCAAATAATATGCTGTGTCCAGGCTGGTTCATCAGGTGCTCTGCTATGGCTGACTTCTCTGGTTGAAGTAGTCTGCAGTGCCTTTCATGTGTGCCTTTCCAAGAAAATCCAACAAATGCTAAGTTTAGCAAAGGACAAGAGGGATCCTCTCACCTCTGCAGGAGTCTACCGTATACCATGCAGCTGTGGACAAGTCTACATAGGGACCACCAAACGCAGCATTGCCCAGACACGCATCAAGGAACATGAAAGGCATTGCAGACTACTTCAACCAGAGAAGTCAGCCAACCTGGACACAGCATATTATTTGAGAACACAGAAATGCTGGACCACACCAACAACCACCATGTCAGACTACACGGAGAAGCCATTGAAATACACAAGAATGTGGATAATTTCAACAGAAAGGAAGAGACCATGAAAATGAACAAAATCTGGCTACCAGTATTAAAAAACTCTAAAATTACAACAGCAAAACAGCAGAGAGGAAACAACCAGGCACATCTTAACACCTCCCCAACATAAGATTTTCCCAGGCTCAGCCAGGCCTTCTAATGCTAATGAAGGTGGTCAGTTGAAACATTCACACCTAGCTCCAGCAGAGAAGAGCTCTTTGCCCCACCCCAGCCATTCCACAGATATATAAACCCATTGTCCTAATTCCAACAGACCTCACTACCTCTGAGGATGCTTGCCATAGATGCAGGTGAAACGTCAGGAGAAATGCCTCTAGTACATGGCCCTATAGCCCGAAAAACCCCACAAGAACCTAGTGATTCCTGCCATGAAAGCCTTCGACAATACATAGTCCTAGGTTTAGATTGGCTGAAACTTCACAACTCCAAAGTGGAATGTAGGAAGGGGAAAATAAGTTTCACAGATCCTGCTTGTAATGCTCATGTGCAAGAGAAATGCCAGCGCCTGGTGCAAGGGGGTGGGGAGGGGCTGCTGCGGGGAACAGCACTCACCCCTCGGGCACCAGAGGGAGATGGAGAGGGCACCCAGGCACCAGAACACAAGTGTCGTACACCAGAGCAGAGTCATCTGACTTTAAACACTACATCAGGTGGGTAAAATCAGCAAGCAGTTTATTTAGGAATATATGTAGCCAAAGCAGTAAAAACAAATCTCCAGTAAAAAGTAATCCAATTGATATAAAGGAAGACAGGGACAAAGAGTCCAAGGAAATCCATGAAACTGGGCACTTGAATCAATGAACAATACAGAAGCATATTCCATAGCTAAACATGAGCTAGGCAGACCTTGGTGCTGGAAACTTGACGTGAATCCGACGTTGCTTCAACTATTTATTTATTTTATTTTATTTCGGGGTTCTTTTACCCCGCCCTTCTCACCCTGAAGGGGACTCAGGGCGGCTTACAAAGGCAAAGGCACAATTTGATGCCTGCATCATAAAACAATCATACACAAAATTACATCAATTCACAGTTAACAACAATTCATGCATTATAACCATAAAATCAATAAAATCAATAAAACAAATACAAACCCAATTCCTCTCCTACATGGTCAGCGTTCGCTAACTCATAGTTCTAGTTTTCCGTTCCACTTCATCAATCCTGTTGGTCTTACTCGCCTGATTGTCTTATTTAATTGCCAGATTGCCCAAAGGCCTGGTCCCATAACCACGTCTTCACCCTCCTCCTGAAGGAGAGGAGGGATGATGATGCCCTGATTTCCCCCGGGAGTGAGTTCCACAGGTGAGGGGCCACCACTGAGAAAGCCCTGCTCCTCGTCCCCACCAGCCTCACTTGTGACAGTGGTGGGGTCGAGAGCAGGGTCTCCCCAGATGATCTCAAACTCCGGGGTGGGACGTAGAGGGAGATACGTTCGGACAGGTACACTGGACCGGAACCGTACAGGGTTTTGTAGGTCAAAACCAGCACCTTGAATTGTGCTCGGAACTGAATCGGCAGCCAGTGGAGCTGGCACAGCAAGGGGGGTGGTATGCTCCCTGTATGTCGCTCCGGTGAGCAACCTGGCTGCCACTCGCTGGACTAGTTGAAGTTTCCGAACAGTCTTCAAGGGCAACCCCACGTAGAGCGCATTGCAGTAGTCTATTTGGGATGTAACAAGAGCGTGGAACACCGTGGCCAGATCAGACTTCCCGAGGTACGGGCGCAACTGGTGCACAAGTTTTAATTGGGTTCCGGATGAGTCCAGGATCACTCCCAAGCTGCGAACCTGGGAGTGTAACCCCATCCAGCTGTAACCCAATACCCTGTTCGGCCTTACGACTGACCACTAGGACCTCTGTCTTGTCTGGATTCAATTTCAATTTGTTAGCTCTCATCCAGTCCGACACTAAAGCAATCATCCCTCACAAATCATGTATAAGCCCTTTCCTGACTCCAAAACTGCTAGGTACGGATTCTTTTTCAGTTTTAGTTTGCTATCTAACTTCTGTTGAAGTCTAGCTGAGCGTCTTAAGTGCTGTATGGACTGTCTCTGCTTACTGAAACTTCTTTTCCTATTCAAGGTCTTGCTTTATGCTTGCATAGAAGAGGATGCTCGTGTATGTGGATGACTTCATACTATACTATTATCATTCTTACTACAAACCTGGAGTTGGGGAATATCCTAGCAAGGTAGGCGGCCGATCTCAGTGCAAAGGGGTCCTGGTTGCAGAGGAGCTGGTGCTTCTGTATGTGAACGCCCTCCTGCTGCGTGCGGACACCATCCTGCTGTACGTGGACGACCTCTTGATCATCGCCTTGCTCTTGGTCTTCCTGCTGAGCCAGGACCTGGAGGACGAAGGCGGCCAGGGCGGCATCCAGCACCTCGGCAGTCACTCCAGCCTGGTCCAGGCGCAGCTTCTCACGGCCAGACTTGGCCCAGGCCTGGCGCATGGCCAGCACACGGGGGATAACGTGGGTCTCCGGCCGGCAAGGCAGGTCCAGCAGGGCTGATAGGGTCAAGGCTCCGCTGCGAGGGACTCCACCGATGAACAACAAGGGGGCCTCCCGCCCGTATTCCGGCCTCCGGACAACTAGCCGGACAAGGGGTCGGCATCCTAACAGCCAGTGAGCGGAGAGGGTCACAGCCCCGACCAGGACAATGACCACCAGGAGCCTCCGGAGGGTCAGCCGCATGGCCCACCGCCCATCCACTCGGACAACTGACCACTGCTAAGGACCTAATATAATAATATAATAGTAATAAATAGATTCACAATATATTCAACACTACTACTACCACTAATAATAATATATTCCTAATATAGTATTAATAATATTAAATATATTTTGGTCAGCTGCATGGCCCACCACCCATCCACTCGGACAACTGACCACTGCTAAGGACCTAATATAATAATATAATAACAATAAATAGATTCACAATATATTCAATACTACTACTACCACTAATAATAATATATTCCTAATATAATATTAATAATATTAAATATATTCTGGTCAGCTGCATGGCCCACCACCCATCCACTCAGACAACTGATTGCTGCTAAGGACTAATAATAATAATAATAATAATAATAATAAACCTAATGTAAGACAGTCAGCCCCATGGATGGCCCTCCACCCATCCAGTCTGACAACTGATCAGTGCTAGAGACCAAATATAATATATTACAGTAATGATAATAATATATCTAACAATAATAATAGTATTTCTAATAGAATATGTCAAGTATATATTCCTGACATATTATTATTATTATTATTATTATTATTATATCCCGGCTAGAAGACGGCCATACAGCCTGAGAAACCTACAACAACCCAGTGATTCCGGCTATGAAAGCCGTTGACAATACAATGTCTAATAGATATTCCTAATATAATACATCATCGTAATAAAAAATATTCAATATATTCAAAGCATCATCATCATAATAATATATTCCTAATATTTATTATAATCCCAACATATTATATAATCATATGTCAAATATATAGTCCTAATACAAGACATACTAATAGATATATTCCTCATAATAATAATTTATTTCTAATCTAATAATAAATATTTTCACAATATCCAATAATAATATAATATTAAATATATAATAATAGTATAGTGCTAATCTAATAATAATAATAATTTATTCATCATATAATATAATAATAAATATGTGTAATGTATTCCTAGCATGATACAAAATAAAACTATAATTCATCTATGGATGAATTAGTTCCCCCCGTTTTAATGTATTCTCACCCATGGAAAAACCAGGTTCCAATGCAACTCAATGGAGAGAAGAGTGATCCCCTTTTGGAGGGGCGGTGAAAGGAAAGAAAGAAAACGGCCGAAAAGCGGCCTCTTCCGGCTTCCGTAGTCCCGCCCACCAGCCGGCCTTGTGACGTCACGCGCAGGGAGAGAGAGACGCTGCAGTCCGGGAGGACACCACGCCCACAAATATGCAAACGAAGCGGGAGAGGTCCCTCCGCCAACAAAAAAGTCTCGCTATAACTTAGGAAGCAGTAGTGTAAGCGTGGTTTATAAGAAGGAGACTGAACCGCGAGTGTTGAGAAGTTGCAATAAATTTGTATTGTCGAAGGCTTTTATGGCTGGAATCACTAAGTTCTTGTGGGTTTTTTCGGGCTATAGGGCCATGCTAGAGGTATTTCTCCTGACGTTTCGCCTGCATCTATGGCAAGCATCCTCAGAGGTAGTGAGGTCTGTTGTAGAATTAGGACAATGGGTTTATATATCTGTGGAATGGCTGGGTTGGAGCAAGGAGTTCTTCCCTGCTGGTGTGAATGTTTCAACTGACCACCTTCATTAGCATTTGAAGGCCTGCCTGAGCCTGGGAAAATTTTTGTTGAGAGGTGTTAAGATGTGCCTGTTGTTTCCTCTCTGCTGTTTTGCTGTTGTAATTTTAGAGTTTTTTAATACTGGTAGCCAGATTTTGTTCATTTTCATGGTCTCCTCCTTTCTGTTGAAATTGTCCACATGCTTGTGGATTTCAATGGCTTCTCTGTGTAGTCTGACATGGTGGTTGTGAGTGGTCCAGCATTTCTGTGTTCTCAAATAATATGCTGTGTCCAGGCTGGTTCATCAGGTGCTCTGCTATGGCTGACTTCTCTGGTTGAAGCAGTCTGCAGTGCCTTTCATGTTCCTTGATTCGTGTCTGGGCAATGCTGTTTGGTGGTCCCTATGTAGACTTGTCCACAGCTGCATGGTATACGGTAGACTCCTGCAGAGGTGAGAGGATCCCTCTTGTCCTTTGCTGAACGTAGCATTTGTTGGATTTTCTGGTGGGTCTGTAGATAGTTTGTATGTTGTGTTTCCTCATCAGCTTCCCTATGCGGTCAGTGGTTCCCTTGATGTATGGCAGGAACACTTTTCCTTTGGGAAAAGTGTTCCTCCTCTTTCCACCCTCTTTCTCCTTCTGAGGTGGCAGGCAGATGTAGTAAGCAACAACCAGGAGACAGGTGTTTTTAAAGTCTCTTCCTTCATCCCCTTCCTCCTCTTATCTGGTTTAAGGGCAGGGGAGTAAGCAACAGCCAGGAGACAGGTGTTTTTAAAGTCTCTTCCTCAGTCCCCTTTCTCCTCTTAGCTGGCTTAAGGGCGGGAGGGAAGCAGCAGGATTTCCTCTTTCTCCTCCTGAGGTGGCAGGCAGATGTAGTAAGCAACAGCCAGGAGACAGGTGTTTTTAAAGTCTCTTCCTCAGTCCCCTTCCTCCTCTTAGCTCAGTGTTTCTCAACCTTCCTAATGCAGTGACCCCTTAATACAAGTTCTTCATGTTGTGGTGACCCCCAACCATAAAATTATTTTCGTTGCTACTTCATAACTGTTATTTTGCTACTGTTATGAATCATCATATCAATATCTGATATGCAGGATGTATTTTATACAAATATGCACTATGCCCAAATTTGAGTACTGGTGGGGTGGGGGTGGGGGGCTTAACTGGTTTTGTCATTTGAGAGTTGTAGTTTCTGGGATTTATAGTTCACCTACAATCAAAGAGCATTCTGACCTCCACCAATGAGGGAATTGAACCAAACTTGGCACACAGAACTCCCATGATCAAGAGAAAATACTGGAAGGGTTTAGTGGGCATTGGCCTTGAGTTTTGAAGTTGTAGTTCACCTACATCCAGAGAGCATTGTGGACTCAAGCAATGATGGATCTGGACCAAACTTGGCATGGATACTCACTATGCCGAAATGTGAACACTGGTGGAGTTTGGGGGTGAGGGAGTAGACCTTGACATTTGGAAGTTGTAGTTGCTGGGATTTCACCTACAAACAAAGAGCATTCTGAACCTCACCAACGATAGAATTGGAACCCTCATGACCAACAGAAAATACTGTGTCTTCCGATGGTCTTTGGTGACCCCTCTGACATCTCCTTGCGACCCCCCCCCCAGGGGTCCCAACCCCCAGGTTGAGAAACACTGTCTTAGCTGGCTTTGGGGGGTGGGGGGGAAGCAGGATTTCCTCCTTCTCCTCCTGAGGTGGCAGGCAGATGTAGCATTGTTGCTGGGAGGAGGGGCTCCCAGCCGATGATCCAGGAGACATGGTGGAAATCTCTTTACTCTTTACACATTGACCACAATATCCTTCTGGGGTGCCTCGCGGGAATGGGACTCGGAGGTAGTGTTCTGCAGTGACTCTGGTCTGGCCCTTCCTTGAGGAACGTTCGTAGAAGAGGTTCCTGGGCGACACCTGCTCGACCTTACAACCATTGACTTGTGGGGTCCCACAGGGATCAATGCTATCCCCCATGTTGTTTAACATTTACACTGGGGGAGATCATCTGTACGCAGATGAAGTCCAACTCTGTCACTCCTTCCCACCTGCTACTGAACCGGTCCTGAACCGGTGCTTGACAACTGTGACAGTCTGGATGAGGGCAAATAAATTGAAACTGAATCCAGACAAAACAGAGGTCCTCCTGGTCAGTTGAAAGGCTGAACAGGGCATAGGGTTGCAGCCTGTGTTGGATGGGGTCACACTCCCCCTGAAGACGCAGGTTCGAAGCTTGGGAGTGATCCTGGACTCATTGCTGAGCCTGGAACCCCAGGTCTCGGTGGTGGCCAGGAAAGCTTTCGCACAATTAAACTTGTGCGCCAGTTGCGCTCGTATCGTGAGAAGCCAACTTGGCCACAGTGGTCCACACTCTTGTTACATGCCGAATAGATTACTGCAATGCACTCTACGTGGGGTTGCCTTTGAAGACTGCCCGGAAGCTCCAATTAGTCCAATGGATGGCAGCCAGGTTGCTCACCAGAGCGGCATACAGAGAGCATACAATCCCTCTGCTACACCAGCTCCACTGGTTGCCAATCTGCTACCGAGCACAATTCAAATTGCTGGCTTTAGCCTATAAAGCCCTGAATGGTTCTGGCCCAGGTTATTTATTCATTTACTATATTTGTATACTGCTTCTCTCAGCCCTTGGGCGACTCAAAGCGGTTAACAGTAGCAAAACTAAATGCTCAAAACATCATAAAACAGTTTAAAACAAAACAGTAGCATAATAAACAATCATTATAAATTAATAAAACATCTCATTAGCGTCTCATAGTTAAAATCAAGATCCAGTCTCATCATCCAATTGTTCCATATTCCTATGCAGGCCTGTAGCAAGGGGGGGGGGGGGGGGGGGTTAGGGGTTCAACCCCCCCCCCCAAATTTTTCAGGTTAAAAAAATAAACCTGGTTTACTCATGAATTTTAACTGGTTAACCAAATCCCCATGCTAAGTCTATGAGACACAAAAAATTAAGAGTCCTTCCAGAACGGCAAGCACTATCTCAAGCAAATATCGACAATTTATTCACACTGTCATAAATAAATAGCCGATGTAGCGAAGCAACCAAGGGGGGGGGGGTTTAGATTTGAAGGCCCTCATGAAGGAGACCAGACTTGGTGGGGGTGGTTGACAGGGGCGGAGCTGCAGGCTATTGAAGGCTGCTCTGCCCCTGCTGTCTGAACGCATCTCCTTCTACGTCCCGCCTCGGAGTTTAAGATCTTCTGGGGAGGCCCTGCTCTCGGCCCCATCTCTATCACAAGTGAGATTGGTGGGGACGAGGAGCAGGGCCTTCTCGGTGGTGGCCCCTCGCCTGTGGAATTCACTTCCCGGGGAGATTAGGTCATCGACATCCTTCCTCTCTTTTAGAAGAAAACTAAAAACATGGATATGGGACTAAGCCTTTGGGTAATCTGGCAGACAGACAAAGGACAATGACGACTAGAATTGATAGGATTTAACAAGGTGGAATGAACTTACGGATTCTGAGCTGGCGAACGTTGAACATTAGATTGGTTTTTATTGATTGTGATGTATAACTTGCTTGTTTTAACTGTTTTATAATTGCTGTTGATACATGTTTTATCTTATTGTCTGTTGTTGGCATCGAATTGTGGCTTTTGTAAGCCGCCCTGAGTCCCCCCTTGGCAGTTGAGAAGGGCAGGGTAGAAATGCACAAAATAAATAAATAAAATAAATGCTGTGCTCTTTGCTTCAGCGTGAGCTAAGAGGCAGGTTTCAACCCCCTCCCCAAAATTTTCAAACCCCCCCCCCAAATTTTCAACCCTCCCCAAAATTTTTTTCTGGCTACGGCCCTGATCTATAGTCCATCCTCCCCCAAACCGCATCAGGACGTAAAGTGGGTCATGGGGGTTATGTGTGCCAAGTTTGGTCCAGGTCCATCACCCGTGCAGGTTGCACTGGCCTGTGGAAATGGGAGCCAATAAGAAAGCTGCCATGTACACACATACCCACATACATGCATACAAACACTGACATATATATATAGATATAGATATATAGATAGATAGATTATTTTTGTTCATTCGTTCAGTCGTCTCCGACTCTTCGTGACCTCATGGACCAGCCCACGCCAGAGCTCCCTGTCGGCCGTCACCACCCCCAGCTCCTTCAAGGTCAGTCCAGTCACTTCAAGGATGCCATCCATCCATCTTGCCCTTGGTCGGCCCCTCTTCCTTTTGCCTTCCACTTTCCCCAGCATAATTGTCTTCTCTAGGCTTTCCTGTCTCCTCCTGATGTGGCCAAAGTACTTCAACTTTGTCTCTAGTATCTTTCCCTCCAGTGAGCAGTCGGGCTTTATTTCCTGGAGGATGGACTGGTTGGATCTTCTCGCAGTCCAAGGCACTCTCAGAACTTTCCTCCAACACCACAGTTCAAAAGCATCTATCTTCCTTCGCTCAGCCTTCCCTAAGGTCCAGCTCTCACATCCGTAGGTTACTACAGGGAATACCATGGCTTTGACTATGTGGATCTTTGTTGCCAGTGTGATGTCTCTACTCTTTACTATTTTATCGAGACTGGACATTGCTCTCCTCCCAAGAAGTAAGCGTCTTCTGATTTCCTGGCCACAGTCTG